TATGCCGGTATTGCCGCCATTCATATATTTTTAATGATGGCCAAAATTACAGCCCCACGTGCAATGCAGCTCGCAGGCACTGAACGTGTATGGGTTGATAATGTAGAACTCCGGACAAGTTTTCTTGCGCGCACCAATTTTTAACACCGTGACCGTATGTGTATGCATCAGGATTGCACGCTGGTGGAAGCACCTTTGTGTGCGATTCATATGAGAAGTGAGCAGAGAAAAGTTACTCTTCAGAAAACGTACAAATATAATTTTAGATGTTTAATTGCTGTTTGAAGCATTGGAATTGCTAGACGGGGACTTAATGACCTAATTTCTACGAAAACCCGAAATTCGACCAAAATGACTTTTTTTTTTGTTTGTTTTTTACAATTTTTCTCTCAACATTAGCCTTTCGGCCATTTTTATTTTTTTGGCCAATAATTTTCGCTGGATGAATAAATTTCCAAAATGAACAATAATGGTTATTGCAGAACAGTTAGATATAGAGTGCAACAGTAAGGTTCCGGAAGTAAAAATGGCATTAATTTTCTCCTAAAAGAAATGTTTTTTTTGTTTTTTTTAAAAGACAGGCCTGTTGTGAGGTCCGTGGTTGTAATAGTGTGTACTAGGGCTGGGTGATATGGCCAAAAAATTAATTTTTCATATCAGTAAATATCTATAATTATCCTGATAAATGTTAAATCTTTTTGTTCAAGTTTAAAGGCAGATTTTTGCTCTCAGAATTGGTTTTAAACTATTCTTTATGGTCAGAACATGACAAACACTACTTTTTACTAGTCATTTTTCCTTAAATATTTTACTAGAAAAAAAATATTTCTTAGTTTCTGCATGTTCTAATGAGTGATATTGCTTCAAGTCATGAAACAGGTTGGTGTTGCGTGACTTTGACATGTATCTTCAGCCCAGTTTGCAGTGCAGGCTGCAATATTAATGTGACCTGTGCTGGCAAAATGAGTCGCAATGAGCAAATTTTCTAAAGTTAGTTATTTTCCATTTTCATTAAAAGACTACATCAGTTTAAAGCCTGGCGCACACTGTACGATTTTGGCCACGATTTTGTCGTCTGAGACAAATTGACAATCCTAAAAGATTCCTATAATCCTAGGCTAAAATCTGTAGTCTTTGATCGTTAGTTTGACAGCCGATTAATGGCCGTTGCGATCAAATTTGACCTCCGACGAAATTCTGGCAGTGTCAGAAGATTTGACGCACAGTCCTGCAGTGTGACTTCTATGACGGACGTCAAACTGTCTTCGTTTTTCAAGACAAGCCATGATCAGAATTAATGCTAGAAATTTCTTCTAACCGCATAAACTCGTCCTCCGCTCACGGAATTCATATAATATGTTGCCTTTGCTATGATAAACACAGCTGCTGTTTTCATGTGGGTGTGTAGTGTTGCTTACACTATTCTTAAATATGCCGGTATTGCCGCCATTCATATATTTTTAATGATGGCCAAAATTACAGCCCCACGTGCAATGCAGCTCGCAGGCACTGAACGTGTATGGGTTGATAATGTAGAACTCCGGACAAGTTTTCTTGCGCGCACCAATTTTTAACACCGTGACCGTATGTGTATGCATCAGGATTGCACGCTGGTGGAAGCACCTTTGTGTGCGATTCATATGAGAAGTGAGCAGAGAAAAGTTACTCTTCAGAAAACGTACAAATATAATATTAGATGTTTAATTGCTGTTTGAAGCATTGGAATTGCTAGACGGGGACTTAATGACCTAATTTCTACGAAAACCCGAAATTCGACCAAAATGACTTTTTATTTATTTATTTTTTGTTATTTTTTACAATTTTTCTCTCAACATTAGCCTGTGTGCATTCCGACTCATTTTGCCAGCACAGGCCACACATTACTTTTTTGGTGTCTCTTTTAGAAATACACATTTGACAGTAGTTTTTTCAGTTGTTCTAAATGGGTTTTTAAAACAGCAGGAGCGTATGGAGCGCTGAGCGTCTTTTTTCTTTTTTCGTTATTTCTCTGCGCCAAGTTGAAGAATGTTCAATTTCAGGTAAAACGCAGCACTCATCACTGTCACTTTTCAGTCAGCTAACCAATCGCACAGTCCTGCAGTGTGACTTCTATGACGGACGTCAAACTGTCTTCGTTTTTCAAGACAAGCCATGATCAGAATTAATGCTAGAAATTTCTTCTAACCGCATAAACTCGTCCTCCGCTCACGGAATTCATATAATATGTTGCCTTTGCTATGATAAACACAGCTGCTGTTTTCATGTGGGTGTGTAGTGTTGCTTACACTATTCTTAAATATGCCGGTATTGCCGCCATTCATATATTTTTAATGATGGCCAAAATTACAGCCCCACGTGCAATGCAGCTCGCAGGCACTGAACGTGTATGGGTTGATAATGTAGAACTCCGGACAAGTTTTCTTGCGCGCACCAATTTTTAACACCGTGACCGTATGTGTATGCATCAGGATTGCACGCTGGTGGAAGCACCTTTGTGTGCGATTCATATGAGAAGTGAGCAGAGAAAAGTTACTCTTCAGAAAACGTACAAATATAATTTTAGATGTTTAATTGCTGTTTGAAGCATTGGAATTGCTAGACGGGGACTTAATGACCTAATTTCTACGAAAACCCGAAATTCGACCAAAATGACTTTTTATTTATTTATTTTTTGTTATTTTTTACAATTTTTCTCTCAACATTAGCCTGTGTGCATTCCGACTCATTTTGCCAGCACAGGCCACACATTACTTTTTTGGTGTCTCTTTTAGAAATACACATTTGACAGTAGTTTTTTCAGTTGTTCTAAATGGGTTTTTAAAACAGCAGGAGCGTATGGAGCGCTGAGCGTCTTTTTTCTTTTTTCGTTATTTCTCTGCGCCAAGTTGAAGAATGTTCAATTTCAGGTAAAACGCAGCACTCATCACTGTCACTTTTCAGTCAGCTAACCAATCACAGTGGAGGAGGGGCGGGACTAATACAGACCAACCATCACACCCTGCTTGTACTACGGCTGCATATTTATGTCTTTACTAGATTTAATTACCGGACTACCATAATATTATGAAAAATAATGCTTGGAGAAACATTTCATTCGTATGCATCTGCCATATACTTCAGCAGATATTTCATATCTTTTATATTTTGTATACTCCACTTCAGTAGTTTTATACTTCATTATCAGATTTAATTTGATTGGCATTAGCGATGTTTCTTAGAATTGTATAATTGTTGTTCTTTTAAAGTCGTTAAGTATACTGTCTTTTACCTTGTGGTGTTTTGTCTGATTTTTGGAATACTTTTTTGCCTCAAATAAAGGTTTCAATCTAATGAATGAGGCATTTATATAGTGCTTTGTGTATTGCTGTACACCCAAAGCGCTATACAATCATATGGGGGATCTCTCCTTAACCACCAATAGTGTGCAGCATCCACCTGGATGTGATGGCAGCCAAAGAACAATGGCGCCAGTGCGCTCACCCCACACTAGCTACAGGTGGAGAGGAGAGAGATGGAGACAATTCAGTAGATGGTGACTATTAGGAGGCCGTGATTGACGGGCCAGTAGAGTGAATTTGGCCAGGACATGGGGGTTCAACCTCTACTCTTTACAAGAAGTGCCATGGGATTTTTTTTAATGGCCACAGAGTCAGGTCCTCAGTTTAACGTCTCATCTGAAAGACGGTGCTTTTTACACCGGGATTAAAGTTCCGTCGCTACAACAGATTTCCGTCAGTTCATAAAGAGTCACTTGCTTCATTCCTGAATGATTCAGCCGGTCGAATGAATGATTCGGTGATTAAAATCAGTGACTTGCCACCACCAACTGGCGGATTTAGTTTAATTTTTAGCGTATAATTTCCGTTATTTGAATAATTTCTGTATTCAAAATTGTATATTTAAAACATTAATCTCCACAGATGGCAGCCAAAGAACAATGGCGCCAGTGCGCTCACCCCACACTAGCTACAGGTGGAGAGGAGAGAGATGGAGACAATTCAGTAGATGGTGACTATTAGGAGGCCGTGATTGACGGGCCAGTAGAGTGAATTTGGCCAGGACATGGGGGTTCAACCTCTACTCTTTACAAGAAGTGCCATGGGATTTTTTTTAATGGCCACAGAGTCAGGTCCTCAGTTTAACGTCTCATCTGAAAGACGGTGCTTTTTACACCGGGATTAAAGTTCCGTCGCTACAACAGATTTCCGTCAGTTCATAAAGAGTCACTTGCTTCATTCCTGAATGATTCAGCCGGTCGAATGAATGATTCGGTGATTAAAATCAGTGACTTGCCACCACCAACTGGCGGATTTAGTTTAATTTTTAGCGTATAATTTCCGTTATTTTAATAATTTCTGTATTCAAAATTGTATATTTAAAACATGAATCTCCACATTAATTTATGAATTTAATTGCACTCATGCTACCGCTGAGCCTAATTAAACGTCTGAAAATGTACTTACAAGCCACTTTTGTGTTCTTCTGTGCCACCTCTGTAGTACAAATTAATTTATTAATACTAATTTCATATGATTGGTTGAACTGATGAAAATCCATCGTAGCGACGGAACTTTAATCCCTGTTTTTACAGTATATAGTGTCCCAATGTCACTATACTGGGGTGTTAGGAGCCACACAGACCACAGGGTGAGCACCTGCTGGTCTCACTAACACCTCTTCCAGCAGCAACCTAGTTTTCCCAGGAGGTCTCCCATCCAGGTACCGATCAGGCTCAGCCCTGCTTAGCTTCAGTGTGGAAACAGTCTTGGGCTGCAGGGTGATATGGCTGTGGCAGTGATTAACCTTGTAATGTTGTGATTCAGCTTATAGCTGTTTGGCCTGATTCATGGCTTTTTTTTTTTTTTTTTTTAAATCCCTGTGGGAAAAATGAATGGGAAAAAATACTGGGGTTGCTGCTTAAAAAGTGGGCGTGATATATCGAATGTGCATTATTTATCAACATTTAAGTTTTAAATGAAATTATCAAATCATATTTGCAGAGACTGAATGGGCAGATTCACACACACAAAAGCAGTGCCGATGCATCCGAAGGAATCATGGGCCATCAATGCTGCTGAGGATCTACTTCAAAGACTGCTATGCTTCAAATTGGGTAAGATTGGTTAATTCTGGTTAATTCTTCCTTTGCTCATTTCCATACTAGACATTTTAATTCAATTATATTCATCAATCCCATTCCATTTCTGCATGTAATTTTAGGTTTTTTTCATGTGTAGTTCATTTTAAACCAACCCCAGTTCGCTTAAAATGAACCATAAAGGGAACTAGCCAAAAGTGACCTCAGTCCTTTTGGTGTTCACAATATTTTTTACTCAAAAGAGAACCCAGTTCTTTTCTTGGCCCTCTTCAGCACATCGCGTCCTATGACCCCACATGCAATTTTACAAGTTGTTTGAACTGAAATGCGTGTTGGCAGTGTGTACACAACCACCCTATAATGATAAAAATCCACTTTTTAAAAAATATTTTTTTTTTATTCTCGTTAAATGTTTTCCCCTTTCTCAAATTGAGCCGGTCTCAGATGCCTGTCTGTGTGACGTCACACAGACAGGCCCCTCCCACGATAGTTTGATTGACAGTAGCGTTTCAGCACAGACTGGACTGGCGTCTTACCTTAGCTCCGCCCTGAGTGAGCTGTCATCAGTCCGCCATTGTTTCACCGCCGGAGCAGATGTAGACAAGAATGACTCCTAAGCGAGGGAGGTGTTCTGTTGTTGGATGTAATAATGAACACAGCAGTCGTCATTTACTCCCGACATCTGAGCCGCTGAAGACGCAGTGGATTACATTGTTTCTGAAGGGAATGCTCCCCCGATCTGCCTAAATGAGTCTGTTCACGCAAATCATTCATGATCCAGTCTCATCTACAGAAGAAGTGAGTATAATGTTTTGTAATGAGTCTTTGCAAATCGCTTTCCTAATAATGTGCTAATTAGCAAGTTTCACGATGAATGCGGCTGAAGTAAACCGTCTCTCTGAGAGCAGCTCAGAAGAGAGGGGCGGGGTCAGCAGAGCTCATTAACATTTAAAGGAAAATGCTACAAAAACGGCTTGAGCTGAAAGGAGCGGTTTTTGACAGGATAAAAAAAAAAGAAGTGTTTTTACACTACCATTGAGAAATTTTAACCAAACTATGTCAGACTTTTCATTAAGACCCTAAAGAATCATATCAACTTGTGGAAAATGGGCATCATATGACCCCTTTAAGACATATTTGTAGTAGATGCGCTATGGAAACATAGCATGCTTTAATGACAGCGGGGAGTGCTATAATTCATATTTAAACTAAACTGCAGATCTCATCTTATGAGAGAATTTTTTTTCGCAAGGACAATGATGCGCACTTACTTCGATATTATGGCAGACACAGCTGGATTTGGTGGTCGAACGGTCCATTGTCCAGTTTGAATAGGTCTAATGATAATAGCTTACTCTACAACCGCAGCTGCACAGAGGTGTACGTCATGTGAAGGCACATTTCCGTACATGTCTGCCATATGTACATTAACTGACAGTCACCACTGATAAGCTACCACTAAATATTGTAGAAACTTAATTTGCTGTGAAGTTGCCTTGCAATGATTTGTATTGTGAAAAGCGCTATACAAATAATCTTGAATTGAATTGAATCTCCACAACATTATGAAAAATACCACTGTATTAGAAGGATACAACTTGGAAAAATTAATTTTATATTATGAAATTATATAATGCATAAATGTAATTTGATTGGTTTTAAACAAATGAAATACTATTTGGCCAATGGAAAATAAATATATATAAATATATATATATATATATATATGTGTGTGTGTGTGTGTGTGTGTGTGTGTGTGTGTATATTAGGGCTGGTAATTTAACGAATTAGATTAATTACTGTGAAAAATAATGAGTTAAAATTACTTGCCCCGCCCCAGACCTATGTGGGTCATCTGACATTTCATACAGTTGATCGATGACAAATAATGGGCAGGGCAACAACTCACTGCGTCATGGAGCCTAGTATAGGGCTGTGTTCGATACAACGATGTATCGTCACAAAGATTTGAGCATACGAATATCGTTACAGCTGTCTCTGTTCAGATATCTCGGCACGTGCGCAGCAGTGGACCACACTTAATTTGAATACAAGAGCACAGTTTAAAAAGGAGTAGCAGTGTTGGGCAAGTTATGTAATACATTATATATTACTTACTGTCTTTTGAAAGTAATTAGTTGCATTTACAATATTACTGTCTCTGAATTGTAATGCGTTACACTGCTTTTGAGTTACTTTCACCAAAATATCCACAGAAGTATTAGCAATAAAATGCCAAAATGTAGTTTATTGCTGGGTGCTCATTCTACATCCAGTGGAGGGTCTATAGCATAAAATTATAAAATCATATTTAGATACCGGTATGTAGGTCTACATTAATGTTACGTTGTAGTTTAGGTTAAACGCATAACTAAGCACAAACCGCATTATAACATTTCGCTTTATTTACCGGTGTTATTTATGAATGTAATAATGTACACACAATATCTAGCCTATAAACTATTTTGAACGTTTCCAAAGAAAATAATGAAAAATAGAAGTTGCTAAACAAGCCAATATTAGGCTAATTCACTTCGAAAGTGAAAGCAAACCTGCATTCTCACGCAGCCTACCTCATTCGGCATTAATCCAATTAAATGTGTCCATATTTGCGATTTGTATTTGAATGCTAAACTATTATTTATGTAAACCAGGCTTACTTAATGCGCTTAAAAAAACATCCTCGTCACATGAGCAAATGTGTTTGGCCCGAGCTCAGGCTGAACGGCACGGATTGTACTACGCAGTATGCACTATTTAAATTAACCAGTGGCTCTATGTTTGGTTGACCGCATTTTATTCTGATAATGAACAGGCTGCAACGTTTGCAATGCTGTATGTGTGTGCGTGAGGCGCCGGCGCAATCGAATAGCGGAAACAAACACAAATACTCCATAATTTTTGGTCATACAGATCATTCGAAACTGCAATGCATTTACTTTTATTTCTGTCATCACTGTTACCTTTCCGTGGACTTTCGTAGAGCGCCGCGCCACACAAATAGCCAGTGAACCAAACTCAGCAGCATGTGTCTGCCTTTTCCTTTCGTTTTGTTAATCCATTAATTAAGCTATTTTAAGTCAAATATTTCACACATTCATTAATTTTATATATAGACTATGATTTAATAAAAACAGATTATTTTTAGTTGAACTTAATTTTTGTTGTCTGCGCTCGTCCGCCACCTTTTTCACTTCTCCGACCCCGCAGCTCTCTCCGATAGCTTAGTGTTAGTGGCACCAGTCCAGGTGTTTCCAGGTTTTACTCGTGCTATTTCTCCATGTTGAGAGTTTGGTGTTGCACAAATTGCACCTGACTATGCATTCTTATCCTTTTCGCCGATGAACTGAAAATAACAGGAGTGTGTCCATCTCACAAATGTAGAATCCATCTCTGCAGTCATATCAACCATCTAATTCCAGCAACAGGAAATAGACAAACTATTTTACCTGCGGAATTTTTTCTCTGGTGCTGTTTTGCGGTGTTGGTAAATTCACCACTTAACTTTGAGTTAAAATGTTGTTGTAACTTGCGTTACTGAGATTGTAACTAATATTACCCAAATTTTATTAGTAATGCGTTATATTACTGCGTTACAGCAAAAAGTAATATACTACTATAATATTATTACTTTTGTAATGCATTACTCCCAACACCGTGGAGTAGAAAAGTGCAAGGTTTCTTAAAAAAAAAATAAAAAATTAATTAAATGGAACGTATATGGGCTACAACAAGGTTTAATCTGGCCGCAGAGGAACACAACTGGGTTGCCCGATATAAAGAGACATTCCCCGAAACAGAGCTTCCCACTTGCGCAAAACGGAAATATCTACTAAGTGTTACTTATCTTTGTCAACCTGGCAACCATGTGTACGCGACCTCTCTCTCCACTGGATAAACGCGCTTGCTTTCTGAAAACACTGGTAAGCTTGTGGTTTAGCGATCTCCACTTAGATATTCTATTATCAGAAAAGTGTAATTTATCAAGTGCAGCGTGATCTGTGTGACATGAGGTACATTGAAGACAGCGCATTAGTTTAGAACTAAACTAAATTATTTGTTTATTATATTTAAAACGTAGAGTGTTGATTTGTGCAATAACCTACAAAGAATGTAAAGATGATTTTAATATATTAGAATGAGTAGCCTACATTACGATATAAATTTATTAGAATGAGTACATTATTATTTCTGGGCTTAAAAACAAGATTCAAACAATCATAATATTGTACCTTGTGGGGAGTGCACAATGTAAACATGAAACATATGCCATTACCTATATTGTACTGTGGTATAGTTATGGAGGCCCTTCATAATGCAGAGGTCAAGTGCCTGTTCTGCCAATAGTTATGGCCCTATAGTATGCAGTGTTTAATAAACAGCTATTTTACGAAATTCTTCTGAGGTGAAATTCAATGCAGTCCTGTATCGTGATATGTATCGTATCGTGGTCTCTGTATCATGATGTGTATCATATTGTGACTTTGCTGTTGATACACAGGCCTAGAGAGTGTAGTTAGAATGTCCCTAAAATTCAAGATATGGGGCAAAAATGCTCCTGTTTGAGTTTCTCGTATTTACATATAGTTAAAGGGATAGTTCACCCAAAAATTAAAATTTGATGTTTATCTGCTTACCCCCAGGGCATCCAAGATGTAGGTGACTTTTTGTTTCTTCAGTAGAACACATTTGATGATTTTTAAGTCCAACCGTTGGAGTCCATCAGTCTTATAATGCATGGCAATGGTAACAAAGTCTATGAGAGTAAAAAAAACATGCACAGACAAATCCAAATTAAACCCTGCGGCTCGTGACGACACATTGATGTCCCAACACACGAAACGATCGGTTTGTGCCAGAAACCAAACAGTATTTATATAATTGTTTTACCTCTAATACACCACTATGTCCAACTGCTTCGAGCACGCGCACGACTTTCTGTGCGTGAGATGTGTATGGTCCGGGGCGGTGGCTTCTATCAGCGGCTTCATCCTTCTCTCTGCCCACGGCGCTTG